TGAGAAAATTGCATGTAAGTCGCTCACCCCAGCGACTGCCTATACGTGCTGCTCGTGTATAAGAGATGTGAAATGTGTGGGGTTGGTCGAAGTACCCAGTGACTATTGTACAGTGAGTGGGTGAGTTTAGTTTCACACCGCTCTCAGCAATATGCCAGCTCTATGGCGGCGGGGTCTGTAAATAATCGAGTCTGGACCAGATAAACCAGTGATCAACAACATGAGCATCGACCTGCGCAATTGGGAACCGATGACATGCGTCAACCAAGTCAGCGAGCCTGACCACCCGATCTTCCAATAGTCTCCTCTTACGACAAGCATGGGTTACTGAAGATCATACTATTCTGGACAAAACTAGTTAGGGATATATGTACATTCTGAAATTATGAATAATGAACTATTTATTCATTGATACACTGATTAAATATCAATCATAAAAATACCAATATCCCTAACTTATTTTGTCCAGTATAGATTTATGCGAAAGAAGTGAGCGGCACCCATCAAACACATGCTGAGGCAAGGCAATGATACAGCTGTAATGACATATCTCTGAAAACACCTAGATCATATTCAGGAATTTCATCGGACAACATGTTATGTCACTGATGCGTCAAATTTGAAAATACCAACCATAAGATAACCAAAGACTGTCGATATATACATGATTGTGAAGATTATTCTTTGCTCCCCTCGCAAGCAACGTGATTACCACAGAAACTCATCTCATTCCATTGTGGCAAAGTCCCCGGGGCAAAAACAACCACAGTTTCGTTTCAAATGATGCAGCTCTACTACCCCGTCCAAATTACACTCATAAGCGAGAGGACAGAGAGATAAAGATGATGACGTCACTTCCGAAAACGAAGCATCTGTGGCGGATCACTCTCTGCACATCGACGATGCAGCCAATAGCCGCTCAAACTATCTTTATATAGTCTGAAGGTTTAATGAGATATCAGTGTTACGATGAATCCGAAGTCTGCTTTAAATTGCAGTAACGAAGCGATATTCTCAGGAGGGTAGGGATGGGATTTAAAACAAACCTGAATTTGTCCCTAAACTGCTCGGAAATAATAATTGTCGTCAGGGTATGATTACACAGAGCCATTTAGAAAGTGGTCAAATGTCGTCAGGGTTTTCAAATAATTTACTGGATGTACTTGAAAACATATTTGGGCTCTTTATTATAACATTACGGTCATGTCACACCGGTGAGCATAAATAACAGCCTTCAACATGGGGAATGAGGCGAACACCAACCAGCTCCATAGAGTAACGACCTGACACGTATTACAATTATGTCCTGGGCACAGTGGACCAACAGCATCATTGATATTCATCAGGCACTCACAAGAGTTGTATTTGTTCGAGTTATTTGAGAACAATTTGTAAATCACAACTGAAAATTCATTCAGCTCCTCCTTTGCAGGAGATGGCGATGGTGGCATTTGGAGGATCTGAGCGACATTTGCCAAGTTTGGTTGTATCCCAGTTCCAGACTGGTCTCAAGTTAATTGACAAGCTAATGACTGCACTATATGCTGGAGATCACAATATTAAACAATATGCGAAAAATGCATATGCAGCTTTTTCAAAGGCTGAGGGTAAGTTAGAAGACCATATCCGTCGTCAAACCAGAAAGTGCAGGGCAGAGGAAGCGGGACTTTCAAACATGGAGACAAGACACCAAGAAATAATTCGATCACTGGCAGGCTTGACTGATTCACTGGCATCTTTGTCAAAGAGACTCGAAGAGCAAAGAGAGAAGGTTGCATGCGCCAAAGCAGATGTAAACAATGCTGAGGAACGTGTAAAAAAGGCTCGATCTAAATTAGAAGATGCTATTGCGACTAAAGAAGGGGTTGAGATAGCAGGATGGGCAACGATATGGATACCTTTTGTCGGAGCATCGCTGTTGCTAGTTTCAGAAACAGCACTCAAAAAAGGCGTTGATAATGCAGAACATTCGCTTGACTCCACCAAGTCGGATTTATCCAGTGCTGAAAACACCCTAAGTCAGATGACATCAGAACGTAACAATACTCAAGGCGATATCTCGAGACGTAAAAAGGAAAAGACCAAAATGGAAGAAGAAATGAGGGAGACTCGAAAGAATATTTCAACATGCAGGAATGACATAAACGAACAAAACAGAACCCTGACAGCATTGAGGAAGGTGATGACTCGTCTGGGGAAAGTCTCAGGACGAGCAGAAGTACTGAAAGATGCCACATCCATCATGCATGATATAGCAGAGATTGGGATTCCTCTTAAAAGTTTGTTTGACAGCTTTGAGGAGTTTATTACCCAACCCGATCTATGGAAGAAAGTCCTTTCTCGTCCTGTATTTCAAGCCATTTGTGATGATGACGACGGTGGATGGTGTTGAAAACAGAAATGACACCTTGACACTTTTCCACACTTTATGTCTCTGTAATTGTTGCCTAGAATAGAAACTCAAGTTGTTAAAGTAATAGCTTATGAATGTTCAGCAGGTTTTCTCTGAAAAGGATAGATTAATGGAGGTCATGTCAGTGTATGTTTGGCAACTGACTAACAGACCGCGTGTAATGTTCAGCGTGTTTATAGAGGACCTATATTACCGTTTCCTGCCTGAAGCCGAAAACAGTGCTGAAAACACCCTAAGTCAGATTACATCAGAACGTAGCAAGGCGATATCACCAGACGTGAAAAGGAAAAGACCAAAATGGAAGAAGAAATGAGGAAAATTCGCAAGAATATTTCAACATGCAGGAATGACATAAACGAACAAAACAGAACCCTTACAGCGTTGAGGAAGGCGATGACTCGTCTAGGGAAAATCTCAGGACGAGCAGAAGTACTGAGAGATGCCACATCCATCATGCATGATATAGCAGAGATTGGGATTCCTCTTAAAAGTTTGTTTGACAGTTTTGAGGAGTTTATGTGCAATAATGCTCAGCGTGTTTATAGAGGACCTATATTACCGTTTCCTGACTGAATAAGTTTCCTCTGCGAGAGGTTGTTGGCGAAAATGACATTTCACCAAGATGACTGTCACCATATCACTAAATCCATATATCCAGAAAGTACTGAAGTTATTAAACCTCTTGACTTTTAACTATTCGTTCCATTCTTTTACTTAAGTTCCAAAATTGTATGCAATCCTTTTTTCAATATCGACTTCTAACATGGGTCTTAAGATGTCTATGATACTGATACGTTATTTATGGTTGTGCAAGAGTGAGTGAGTTCAACATCACCTTGACTGGCACGAGCACATCCTGTAGGTAACGGTGATATGATTTAAGCAGAGGAAGCAATTAAATTGGTAGTTATGTGACTATTTCAATGCCATGTCTCGATTTACCTTCTTGAAGATGAAAGTGTTGATTTCTCTTCAGGATGTTAAGTATGCTTTGTCGTCCAAACAGCATGTGATGCATGATTGCATTATATACAGATTTTCACTTTAGTATTTTATCTTTTTTCTATCTCATCCCTGATTTTGTAGATCACTCGAACACGTATATGACACTGCCATTAACCCGACTAATGCTTAGATACTATATGATAAAATATTAAAGTGTCTTCTTTAAACGCACGATTCAGGCTTCATAAGGGACGGTGGGTAGCCGATGTGCGGAAAAAAGTCCTCGGAAAAAATGTACAGGAAAAAAGTTTTAATTTATCGAGAAAAAAAGTCCTCCGGAAAAAAGTCCTATTTTGAAAAAGGAGATTTTTGACAAAACAAAAGTATTTCATAGTTTTTCATAGCGTTCATTGACATATTGATACAACACATGTAAAACAGACAGATCATGTTTACATTACAGAGGTTAATATTGATGTGTTCATTCTCGTATACAGCATAGGTCTGGAATGTGTATTGAGTCTTATTCATTCTAATGTTCACCGCCACGCCATGTAAGAACTCAAGGATTGATTTTCTTCCTGCTGCCACGTCACTGCATAGCTTGTGTAGACGTTTCTGCATCTTGACATATACAGCTCTTGATTTCCTCACCGTCTCGCCAAAGACACGGTTTCGATTCAAAACATGGGTACAATGCGTGAAGGCCGGTTTTGGTGTACCCCGCCGTGATATTTCGGGAATATAGCTAAAAGCGGTGTAAAATCACACTCACTCACTCACTCACTCAAGCGTCATAAAAGTGAAAGTTGTTTTTCAAAGATCAACATCAAGGAAACATGGACGTGAATACAGCAATATATTCCACAAGGCGAGGTTTGAACTTGGTTGTCGCAGACATATGTGAAGAATTGTTGGAACAGCCAAGTCAAGTAAAATATGAAGACGCAAATATAACTTATATAAAATGAACATCCAAGCTTTAGTGGAAAGGGGGACAGGAGGGATTTTCGTATGATAAATGACCAGTTTCAGAGAGTGCGAGCCGAACAAACAAATGTTACTGATCATATAACACGACCACCAGTCTGCTGGTGAATATGAGGTGAAAATATATTTTCCAGTATTTCGGGAGCAAATATATATATTTCTTTTTAAAAAGTATATACTCCTTTTTAAAGCAAAGACATAGCTTGCAAGCTTCCGCTAAATGTTGGGGCTGACATTAAGTACAAAATGTACCTTATTGAAGTCGCTATTTTTATCCAACGAATCAAACCACGGTTTGGTTACAGTGAGACCAAACTAAGCGTATATTCAGACCAATTGGCTTTCCGTTTACACAAATGGCAGCCCAAGGTTGTGTAATAGCCTCGTTGCCATATCCTCCAATCATTTCTGCAATATTAGGCAGTGGTCACACGAAGTTCACGTTCATGCGCTCACAAAACTAAACATACATTACAGCTATCTATACATCTCAAATCAGTCGAATGTATGTATTCAAGGTCAGATGATGTGTTTTCGAGCCTGTGAAGCCCTGCCAAATTCACTGTACAAGCCTTTCTTTGGTTTTGATTTAGTACATGTTTGTGGGTTGTTTGGGTTTCTTTTTCAAAAATTGTTCTGATTCTAATTAAAGATTTACAGTTACGTGATTGCTGCATCATGGCGGAGGTGAGCAAGAAGACGATTGCCAAGGCCGAGAAGGACCTGATGAGTCCACAGGACATTAAGGTAAAGGAATTTTGTTTGTTTTTATGTTTTATACAAGAATCAGAAGATCACAGTCATTGCATACTATATGTATTTGCTTATGTTTAACAAAACATTTGTATTTCAAGGTTTCAAAGTTTGTATTAGGCAGTCCCTGTTAACATGCGGCTGTGTATCTTTGAATATTTCCTAGCGTATATCAGCACGTGCAGGACGTGCACGAAAAATTAAAATCATCTTCCATAGTCCTGTTACAATTTTTACATATTCTGAATGACGAGGTGTACCTTCCCGTCTACCAGTTTTCTTAATATGAAGTGCAACGGGTCTTTGTAAGGTAACTCCTTTTCTGGTAATGTTTACTTCTTGTTAAATGGCTGGGATACCTCCCGTCTACCAAATTGAATGTTCTTATTAATATGAGTGCAACATGTTTTAATAAGGTATATTTTCCTACTATCCCAAGACTAAAATATTATTTAAAAAAATTCCAGTTCAAAGGGTCTTTAAAGATCACATATACTCTAGGGGGGTACAAATACATAAATCACTAACTGGCATCGCTATAAATGAAACCCCGTCATTAAAACAACTCTCTTCGGTCTTTAATTAACTTAAATCGACCTTTTTGACAACAGTGCACAATTCTCACCCGCGAACGAAATTTCAACCAATCAGAGCGGGGCGTCCCTGTCACGTCATATGAGGAATAGATATGAGGGCCGGTGCAGAATTCATCTACATTTCAGGGGGTAAATTATCTTGTTTACAGGTTTGTATAAACCTGAAATCGTAACATCTGTTGTGGAAAATGAAAGCTATATGTTCTCACAATCTACTGTCATATACTTTTGTCTCCTGCTTTGCCTAGCTTCCCAATAACAACTTGTTTTCATAGACGATTCTGTCAAAATCGCTTGGTGTCGTTAGGCCTTATTTGTATAATGACTGATCCAAATTGATCCCATTTCTGTGTTTTTACCTCGATATTTAATCATGCCATGTAAAAATCTGTTTGTATTCTCAAAACAGTGTCGGCCCATAAGTTTTCACATGCAATACAGCAATTAATACTCCCTTGTTGTAACCCGCGTTAGGTGGTATAAACCTACACATGTTATTTGTCATCATTCACTTGATGGTCAGTTAATTAGTGGTAACACACTTAGATTACCCGACAAAGGTTCCCATTTGGCATTTCTTGTGTATGGAGTAAATATATTTAACATTATAAACATCGATCAAAGGATTAACCGATAACACGCTGATTGATTAATTACTTTTATCTTACACAGCGGATTTGTCAGAAGGTAGTGTTTATGTATGTAGATTTTCCTATCCATACTGAATACACTCTGTCGTGTCTGCGTAAAAACAACGTCCTTCTTTCAAAGGATTAACCGGCAATACATTGATTGATTGCCCATTATTGGCTAACTAAATTACCGTTTTAACTGTTTTTCTACTGTCAGGTAGAACGTCTTTCCTATTATAAATGAAATCTATTATAAATGAGAAATTAGCGGTTTTAAAAAATCAACCGTGTTCACCGAGCAACCGAGTAGAGGATTTCGACCAGCGTCATTTGGGACAATTCCCAAGGGATAATTCTTAATCATAAGGAAACAAGTCTGATGCCACTTGCACCTGTTGTTGATTTCAGGAGGACATGATGTTAGTCCTCGGACCTCACATGAACTGGCAGGAGATGCTGTGCCCAGCACCTCTCTCCGTATGTCTCCTGGGACAACTGGTTCTCGTCACGCTGGACAAGGACGTGTCTCTTTTGTCGGAACATATGACAAGAGATCGATTCGAACACACCGAGTACCCAGAATCTCTGCGGACCAGCATTCTGCAAGTTGCTGATGACGGATGGAATGCCTTCAACCTGGCCAACAAAAACATGGATCAGATACGACTGCTGACACTGCAGATTCCCCAGCACGTCAAGAACGCTGTCAAGGTAAGTATTTTGAAATACCAAATCGGGTGACTTCTAAACTTCTAAATCTCCTGGAGATTTTGATTTCTTGAAAGGACTTTCTTTTAAGAGTCCCATGGACCTCATTCGGACACCCCCACGCAACTGTGAAGTTCCGGGTTAGAATTGGTCTTCAGCAGCCCATGCTTGTCGTTACAAGTGACTAATGGGATCGGGTGGTCAGACTCGCTGACTTGGTTGACACATGCCATTGTATCCCAATTGCGTAGTGCGATGCTCATGTTGTTTGATCACTGGATTGTCTGGTTCAGACTCGATTATTTACAGACCGCCGCCATATAGCTGGAATACTGCTGCTTGTGGCGTTAAACAACAATCAATCAGTCAGTCAATCAAAACCTCCACGGCCTCTGAAAGACTATAGACGGACAGTGACGCTCTTTCCTTCATACAATCCTCCAAGACATTGACACTCCTTTAAGGAATCGTAGACCTTGGTTCGATTCCCCACATGGGTAAAATATGTGAAGCCCATTTCTGGTGTCCACCGCTGTGATATTGCTGAAATATATGCTGAAACCGTAAACCTAAATTCACTCACTGCTCACAAACTCCTCAAAACAATGACTCATCCCAACACTCTGACTCTCTCCCAGACTTCTTCACTTTAGAAGACCTTTCTCCTTCCCTTACATGTTCACTGTTCAAGTTATATCGGTCTTGTATGGCTATGTTTCACTTTTTTCAGTACATTGTCAATGGATCAGAAATGGAAGTGCGCAAACTCGTCCCCGATTACTTGGCTAACATTAAACGAATTACTGACACTTGCGTTGTACGAGCTGAAGCAGTGGAGACACGATTTTGTACTGTAATGGATTTGATAGGAGAACTCCAGAAAGCATGCACATTTGCTGAAGGTCAGTATTCTGAGAAACTCCTCAAAGCGGAAAAGGATCATGAGGTGAAGACAATAAGACTGCAGTCATTAGAAGAAAGAAAGAAGCTCGCTGAAGAGGAGTACAATGAATTACGTGACCAGTTTAAAAAGACCCAAGAATCATATCAAAAAGCTATGGACTCTATGCCATCTGGTTGGAGTATGATCAGTATGGACTTCGTCGAAGGGCTGGCCAAATGCACTCTTGGTGTCTGCCAATCAGTCACCAATGCTGTTACAAGGAATTCTGCAAACAAGGAATCCTCCAAGGGAAAGAATGGGCAGAAAGAAGAAGACAAGGAAGCTACACTGCTGATGGAACTTCCAGGACTATCGCATTGTGTAAAGACTCTCGTAACAGATTTTGATCAGATTATGCAAGGAACGGAATTGGATCATCTCATGACGGTCGAGTCAACCTTTCAAGATATTGTGAAGGCTTTGAAATCCTACTCGGGAGTCTGTAAGCAGAAAGTAAACGACATTGAAACTGACGGATGTCAACTCCTCAAGATGATGAAGACCGCTGGCAAGCAGCTTGCCAAGGAACAGGCACTGGAAAATGAAGCAAAGATGATAGCAGTTCGGCTTGAAGGTAGAATGAAAGCACTGGAGACATTCTGTGCACATGCATTTCAGCAACCTGTGCAAACACCAACACCCATGATGTCTACAAAAGAACAGGATGGTTCCAGTTCAGCTTCAGCAAGATATAGTGAGCAATGTAGATTCAAGGTGGAACAAAATGCTGCTTCGCTTCAGTCAATCAGGGAAGACTTCAAGAACAAAAGCAAATCATTGCAGGAAACCAATGCCCATGTGACATCAGTCATTGAAGAACTTGCACATTTAAACCTTGACAAGGTCAACTTTGATGAAATAAAACAGTTGTTGCAGAGGGGTATCAAAGCTCTCGGACAGGTTCGAACACAGTGGGGAAAGCTGGTGAGATTTTTCACAACAATTTCAAACATCATCAAATGCTGTATGGATGAAAATGTAAAGAATTTCATCCAGGGCGCTGAGCGAGGTGCAGAGTTTCGTCTAACGTACACGATGTCCGATATGATGAGGGACACGATCTATGTACAAGCATCTGAAGCCAACAAGCTGTCGTACATGGTGAACAACCTGGCAGGGATGTATGTTGAAGTGTCCGAGAAGCATTTGATGGATCAAGTGGCCAGCCTTGGGGAGCTACTTGCGTTGGGTGCAGAGAACGACAAAGGTGCCGTCTCACGAAAGATGTCCCAGTTGAAAAGACAGGCACAGGACGCCACAGTGTCTATTGGGGAGATTGTTGCCCAGAAGCAGCTGGAGTTTGACACAAAGGTGCAGAGGAGGATAGAGAGGATTGAAAGGGAGATGAAAGCCGTCTTACCTCCGCCTCCGGCAGAAGATCCTGAGATAGAACAGCAGAAGAAAGAAGCGATTAAAGAAGCTGAGACTTTCAAGGCTGAACGCACGGTGCTGAACGAGGAAGAATGGGCGTGATCGCCTCCCTTGAAACCATTACTTGTATATTTGTCAATACTTCGTTTTTGGATAAACGACCACCGGTCCATTTACGAGTTCCATCTTACATTTACAGAGTGCCAACTCATTAAATCAATATTTCAAAATGCACAGTAATTCTGCTGCATCAAATTGTACAATATATGGTCTCGATTTGTTACTCCAGTGATTTAGCTTTCCGTCACTTTGCTAGTACATCGTTTCCGAGATAAAATGAACTATTTTCATGTTTCATGATATGTTGTATTTAAATATTTAAACAGTGAACCAAAATCGCCTGGGTGCAAATGTAGACCCTAAGATATTCATTACCTGCTGATGATTCTGATTGCGAATGTCCCAATCACCTACAGCATGCAGGTGAACCTCAACGAAGGATGATTGACTGGGACACGCATGGATCAGGTGTTATATGGATGGCTGGACATAAAAAAACTGGCTTGCCTGACCTAGAATCCACTATTTACTTCATTATTGCCGGAGAACACCGTTGTTTTATGATGGCTGTAACGTTGCTGTTAAGTAGCCTAAATCCGTTGTAACATCAAGGATAATATTTTGATGTGATTTTCATATTGAGGCACATACTCGTTTGTATTTATTGTATGGTATCGATATGGGATGTTCAGCGTTAATATCTCATGTGTTACCACTGCTCCTATTTAGATCATTAATTGGAATTGTTTCTTTGTTTCAAGAACTTGAGGAAATGCTTGTCACTTTGTTGTAATTTTGTACTCGAGATGATTTTATGGATGATTCATCTTTTCTGTTAGATGCTGACATATTATTATTTGTTCCGATGAATGTTTGGAAATCTGGAATTTTGTTTGAATAAACTTCTTTCTTTCAAAATACTTTCGTTTTAAAAACGCGTTGGATGCCCATTAGATCAAGGGGATTGTTTTCAGGAGTTTTAATGACGGGTCATTCTGTGGTCAGCGTCAATTACCGGGTGACGTAAAGCATCATTGATCGTGGAGTGAGTGAGTGAATATGGTTTTACGTCGCTTTTAGCAATATTCCAGCAATATAACACCAAAAAGGGGATCCACACATTGTACCCATGTGGGGGAATCGAACCCGGGTCTTCGGCGTGACAGGCGAACGCTTTAACCACAAAGCTACCCAACCGCCCATTGATCGTGGAGAGAGGGTTGAGTAATCTTGTCGAACGTCTCAGATTGTCTCGGGCCACGGCGCTGCTTCACACTGAAACACATGTTATATGTGATGTCATCTTTGGCAAGTGACTTCTTTTCATCTTTTAACCTACTGGTTAAAGCTTCCGCTCGTTACGCGGAAGACAACGAGTTCGATTCTCCACATGGGTACAATGTGTGAAGCCCATTTCCGGTGTCCCTCGCCGGGAATTGCTGGAATACTGTTAACGCTATGTAAAAACATGCTCACTCTGTTCACCCACAGTTCAGTGGTACCCGGTAGGGTGAGAAGGTAGTTTGACCGAAGGACTGTCCCTTGTGGAGCCTGGGTTGGCTTGGGGTCCCCAGGAGCTGAGAATGAAACTCGGATGCATTCTGATCCCAGTGATCGTGTGCATGTCTTGCTGGTTGTTTGTGAGTGACGTCATGAGTATCAACCTATGCATTTGGGATACGGCGACATGCATCAATCAAGTCAGCGAGCCTGACTACCCGTTCAAGTTAGCCGCCTCTTACGACAAGCAAGGGATGCTGGAGATCAATTGTGACACGGACATTACTCATGAACATTCTTTGTGTGTCTGATGTTAAACTGTTATTTAAATTATTTTGATCACGATATGTGATCTTACTGTGGAGGGAAGACCGAAGTGACGTTTATCAAAGAGTAGGTGTTGGTGCCAAGAAATGTAATCAGGTCAAGCATACATACCCATAAGTTTGGTAACAATGTTCCATAGGACAAGAGCGGACGGAAACTGGGGTTTGAACCAAAATTCAGCGGATCCTGGCACAGGAGCAATAATCACTACTGATACTGCTGGACCACCTGTAAAAACAATAAATGAATACAGTTGTCACGCTTCAAACCCAACGTAAATATTGCACTCGTGACACCTTGTCTTACATCTTGGCAAGTATAATTGTTGGCTTACCGCCTTTTTTACTTCATGTATAAATGAAAACGTACGGTGTTTTCAGTTACATCAGTGCTACCCGTGAAGATCCGAGTTAGACTTAATCTTCAGTAACCTATGGTTGTCGAAAGAGGCGACCAACAGGGTCAGGCTCACTGATTTGGTTGACACATGTCATCGATGCTCACGCTGTTGATCACTGGATAATCTGAACCAGACACGATTATTTACAGACCACCGCCATGTAGCTGGAATATTGTGAGTGGGGCCCTAACAAGCAGCAACAAGCAAACAAAACAGTTATATCACACACGCGTCACCTTGTGCAGGAAATCCGAGGTGACGATTTACCTGTTGGTGGATAATGGCAAACCAAGGACCGTTAATATCGAAGTTCGAGACCGTTGATAATATCTTGCCTAATAGATGCAATCCTGCACAACTCTAGTATCTTTGAGGGAATAATTATTGGTCAAGGCAACCATTTACGTGAAAGAGATTTTTATAGATTATGATACTAAAATGCAAAAATCAAAAGTGGTTGCCTCCCTTTTGTTGGTTTAAACTTAGGCAGTAGTGAGTGGGTGAGTCCAGTTTTACGCCGCTTTTAGCAATATCGACTGTTCAATTTCCTTCCATTAACTTATCCACCTGCACCAGAAATAAAGGAGTGGTTGAGTTGAGTTTTACGCCGCTTTTAGCAATATTCCAGCAATATCATGGCGGGGGACGACAGAAATGGGCTTCACACATTGTACCCGTGTGGATAATCGAAACCGGTTCTTATACGTAGGGGGTACATCAAGTCATGTCACCCTCGTGACCAGTGAACAACTTATATTGCTTACCTCTCACGTTGCCAATCCACATGCTGCACGTGTTGTGCCACTTTGGGGACAGCATCACATTACTGTATTATCATGACGAATTGGAAAGGAGAAAATGATATTTTCAATACTCATTTGCATCACTTAATGCGAAGGACAGATACATTTTCTTCTATGAATATGCATCTATTCAAATTGGTATTACAAAACTAGGTATTACATATTTATAACTATATTTCGACAGAAAAGTTGATTTTCTGCAGGAATACAAGAATTATGGCGATATTATTCTTGAAAAAGAGCTGTCACAGAATAGCTTGGGATGGATGTATAATTGATAGGATATATAGTTCTACTTGGCTCAACCATAAACTGAAAATAACTGCCCATAACATACATCAAAGATGACGTATACAATCCATTGATGATGTTATTCATAAAAATATAGATGTTTTGTTAAATCTGTATTATTTCGCAGATGATTGTGGTATGTTAATACGGAATCAGATACTAACCAGACAGCGAATCTGAATCGAAATAGTCTTAAGTACTCTTTTGTGTTTTGGAAAGGGTGACCGTATTTCGTATGTCTGCATAATACGCATGCGCAGATTAATCGGAGACGAGGTATCCTGTGCCTATATAAAGTGCTACTTGATCAAATCCGCCCAACTAGTTTTCACATTCGTCAGGATATTCAAACAGAGCGAGTTGGTTTCAGACTGTTCATATGTAAGTAACAAATTTATACTTTAACCCCTTGGTGGTTACTGTTTGTCATTTAAGAACAATTCTATGGAAGTTGTGAGCTGGTACCTGTTCATGCATACTAAACTCTTTAGTATGTAAACTCTTTTATCTTTACATCAGTGATGTAGAAGAAGGGCAGTATTTATTATATATCCGATGAGTTGCTCATTATATCATCCCCTGGTTTTTAGGCCATTAAGGTATATCCGGCTAATGACCGGCTGCAGCGTATACAACAAACGAATTCCTACATGAAAATATATTACTGCGAGTTTTTCCGAAAACATATATCAATATAGTATACAACTGTTTTGAACTTATTATACACAACCTGTTCAAGCGTGTCAAATAATTCCATTTGTGTGATTCATTTTTGCCGAATTTATTTCTATATTGTTTTGGATGTACTTGTCTCTCTTATAACTGCATAACGATAAGGGGTGGTTGGGTAGCCTAGTGGTTAAAGCGTTCGCTGTCACGACGAAGACCCGGGTTCGATTCCCCACATGGGTACAATGTGTGAAGCCTATTTCTGCTGTCCCCTGCCGTGAAATTGCTGGAATATTGCTAAAAGCCGCGTGAAACTCAACTCGCTCACTCAACGATCGATAAAATGCATTTATCCAATATTACATTATTCTTTTATTCTACCTAATATACAATTCTTGAATTGCATGATTGGTAACTGATGCTTCGGTAACTTTCCATTCCACTGTTCCCGTGACATCAAGCGATGTGCAATTGGAAATATGTAACCCGGAGTCAGGGCAAAAGACATCGTTGATCGGGCAAACATCAGATAGGTCAAGAACAAGCAGACCCTGGGTAACTACGCCCAGTTAAGACGGGTACTTACGTACTTTGCATCTACGGAAATCGACAGGCTATGGCCAGATGACCCGGGGTTCTAGGAATTAGGGACCCGTGAAGATCCGGGTTAGTATTGATCTTCAGTAACCCATGCTTGTCGTAAGAGGCGACTAACGAGATCGGGTGGTCAGGCTTGCTGGCTTGGTTGACACATGTCATCAGTTCCCAATTGCGCAGATCGATGCTCATATTGTTGATCACTGAATTGTCTGGTCCAGACTCGATTATTTACAGACCGCCACCATATAGCTGGAATATTGTTCAGTGCGGTGTTAAACTAAACTCACTCACTCGCTCCAGGAATTAGTGCTTACAGACCTTACTGGGGACAGGTATTGAGATCAGAAACATAGTAAGTCAGATTATACGTCTTTGGCAGCGACGTGATTAGCAGAAGGTCGTCTTCAAAGTTCTTTCTATTCCGAGCTGATGGAAAGCAACGTTTCTACAGCATAAGGGAGAACGAACGGAAGCATGGTGCGTTTAGGGGGGACTTGCAGCGTGGTGTAACAGTATTTTGGAGTGTATTTTGAACACCACTGGAAATTTGACAGCTCAGCGTAACGTGGTTGACAAGTTCGAATATCAATCTCATGATTAAACATGGTCGGAAATTAGGACAAGAGATCAGCAATTATGTCCTATTTGTGTTATTCCTGTGATAGAAACTGAGTTCCACTTCACCTTAGAATGTTCATTTTACGATGATCTCAGAAAACATCTTTTCCCAAAATATTTCTGGGAATTTCCATCTCTCGATAAGTTTAAGCAGCTGCCATTATGTCATATGGAAATAATAACTAATCTGGGAATGTACACATTTCTTGCATTTGAATTGCGAAATAAGTTTCCATCACCATGATCACTTCTCATATTGATGCTTGCCATTGACAGTTATTGCCTCTGTTGTCATCGGTACCTCTGATTTTACAGGCGCTCCCTGTGTTTCTGAATTTTCCCAGATGTAATACACTGTGTAAAGGGCATGTGGCCTCATCACCAAATAAAGTCATTCATTCATTCATACATTCATTCATTCAGTTCAAATATCAATAGTTAACTGTGATGATGGTATCGGAAGGTATAACAATCGAGCTCCATCGAAACCTTCGTTAGTTTATTTATCTTTTATTCCTCCGCCTCTTCATCATCATCATCTGATCAGCAGCAGCAGCATTCTCGTTGTTGTTGTTGCTGCTGCTGCTGTTGTTGTTCTTGTTCTTGTTATTATAAGAACAGTTTGGTATTCATACATGTTCTACAATTTACCTTTGGTATCATGAGGAATTGTATTGTTTTCTAGCAAGAAGTGAAGAAGGACTTTACTTCAGAAAATGGAATCTTTAAAAGGGAAAGTCGTCATTATAACAGGTATCATGCTACAGATTTAATATCTAAAAACGTATGATTGTTGGGGTCTTTAAGAACCAGCCTCTCTCTCAGGACAGACGCAGTCGCCGCATCATTTTAACTTGAAGTTTAGAAGTACTCATCAACAGGGTATTGATATGTTTTTCTGACTATCTGAATCTCTAATATTAATATTTTCAAATAGATGTGGCAACTGGAAGATATGCATTGAACTGTAACTACAAGAAGCCACGTACAATGAACTTACACTTACAAACAGACATTTTAAAGAGAAGGAATAGTTTGTATTTTGAATAAATATAAAGTCAGTTTTGTTTCCATGAAGGCGCAAGTTCCGGTTTAGGAGCGAGCATGGCTGTCTTGTTCGCCAAGCGCGGATGTCGACTCTCTCTGACTGGTCGTAAGCAGGAGAACCTTGCGGCTGTGGCCAAACAGACAGGCCTTGGCAACGATAAGGTGACTCACGTGTTTACATGAAGTTGTTTGATCAAGGTTACAACATTCAAGACCTCAGTAAAGCTTTCAAGAAGTTTTATGATAAACATGGGGAGGAAATTTCCAAATTTGATGCATCAGTGACAAAGTAATGTCCGATGCAATTCCCTATTTTGACTTATACCATACGTTTCCGAATTATTTCAGGTAAACAATTGACTAGACTGAGCATATGTATATAACGGGTTCCGCCGGTGGGGCAGGATACGCTCACCTTTTCGCGAACACCTGTTATCATCACTTTTTCATGGTGATTCATAAACACATGCTATGTCATCGTATCATGGTGACAATCACTGGATTGCCTGGTTCAGACCCGATTTACTTACATACAACATCATACAGCAACCCAGTAATCCTGATTCCCGATTCTCAAGGGTTCGTAGCGCTCCGACATTCGTTAGCCTACGATAAACTATAGAGTTACGACAGGTCGTAACGTTACGAACGCTTTGTGGGTCAAAACTCTGGCCTTTTCAACAACATGGCACCTCTGGGGCATCATCGAGAGACCTGAACACCGACGTCTAAGGTCATCTGCTACGTCAGCCGACCTTGGCCCGTCTCTTTGATATTGTCATATGGCGATAAATCCGGACCATACTACGCCATGGAGACGAACGTTTGACCTATTATTGTTCCCGCGTCTCAAATGTTATAGCAACAAAATCCTGTCGTCTTTCTTCTGTTTGTATCCTTACATCACAACGCAAATATGTTCTGCTGATTATAATGCTACACCTAGTACTTTCGTTTTCTATCCATCTGTTTCTATCATTAGATAGCTGTTTGTGTTTCTGTAATTATCTGTTATTTTCGAGTATATATTCCAGATGTATATGTTTTAGATGCTGACGGCAATCGGGGACCTGAGGAAAGCGGAATTCAGGAAGACGCTCATTTTCAGAACCATTGAAAAATATGGCAAGATCGACGTCCTGGTTAGTGCATTGTTTAAACTCTACATTCTCCCGACTGACGTTAGACGTTGTAAAGAACAAACACTACGTATGTCCGACGGTATAGGCCAGACACTGCGTACACCCGACGTTATAGGACCAAACACGACGTACTCCCGACTTATATAACCAGACACTACGTACACCCGACGTCATAGTGACTACACACTACGTACACCCAACATTATAGTGACCACACACTACGTACACCCAACATTATAGTGACCACAAACTACGTACACCCAACATTATAGTGACCAGACACAACGTACTCCCGACTTATATAAGCAGACACTACGTACACCCGACGTTACAGTGACCACACACTACGTACACCCAACATTATAGTGACCCGACACTACGTACACCCAACATTATAGTGACCAGACACAACGTACTCCCGACTTATATAACCAGACACTTCATACGCCCGACGTTATACTGATCGGACACTACATACACCCAGCGTTATAGTGACCAGTCACTACATACACCCGACGCAATAGTGACCGGACACTACATACACCCGTAGCAATAGGAACCGAACACTACGTACACTCGACGTTATAGTGACCACAAACTACGTACACCCAACATTATAGTGACCAGACACAACGTACTCCCGACTTATATAATCAGACACTACGTACACCCGACGTTACAGTGACCACACACTACGTACACCCAACATTACAGTGACCACAAACTACGTACACCCAACATTATAGTGACCAGACACAACGAACTCCCGACTTATATAACAAGACACTACGTACACCGGACATTATAGTCACCACAAACTACGTACACCCAACATTACAGTGACCAGACACAACGTACTCCCGACTTATATAACCAGACACTACATACAACCGACGTTACAGTGACCACAAACTACGTACACCCAACATTATAGTGACCAGACACAAGGTACACCCGACTTATATAACCAGACACTACATACTCCCGACGTTAGAGTGACCACAAACTACGTACACCCAACATTATAGTGACCACAAACTACGTACACCCAACATTATAGTGACCAGACACAACGTACTCCCGACTTATATAACCACACACTACGTACACCCAACATTATAGTGACCACACACTACGTACACCAAACATTATAGTGACCAGACACAACGTACTCCCGACTCAGATAACCACACACTACATACACCCGACGTTATACTCATCGGACACTACATACACCTGACGTTATAGTGACCAGACACTACATACACCCAACGCAATAGTGACCGGACACTACATACAACCGTAGCAATAGTGACCGGACACTACGTACACCCGACGTTATAGTGACCAGACACTACATACACCCGACGATATAGTGACCAGACACTACGTATTACCGACGTTATAGTAACCAGACACGACGTACGCCCAACCTTATAGACGAGACACTGCGTACACCCGACGTTAGAGTGACCAAACACAACGTACACCCGACTTATATAACCACACACTACGTACACCAGACGTTATAGTGACCAGACACAACGTACTCCCGACTTATATAACCAGACACTACGTACATCCGACGTTATAGTGACAAAACACGACGTACTCCCGACTTATATAACCATACAATACGTACACCCGACGTCATAGTGACCAGACACAACGTACATCCGACGTTACAGTGACAGGACACTACGTAATTGACGTTATAGTGACAAGACACTACGTACACCCAACATTATAGTGACCAGACACAACGTACTTCCTACTTAAATAACCACAGACTACATGCACCCGACGTGATACTGATTGGACACTACATACACCTGACGTTATAGTGACCAGACACTACATATACCCAACGCAATAGTGACCGGACACTACATACACCCGTAGCAATAGAAACCAAACGCTACGTACACCCGACGTTATAGTGACCAGTCACTACATACACCCAACGCAATAGTGACCGGACACTACATACACCCTTAGCAATAGGGACCAAAAATTCGTACACCCAACATTATAGTGACCACAAACAACGTAGACCCAACATTAGAGTCACCAGACACAACGAACTCCTGACTTATATAACAAGACACTACGTACAACAGACATTATAGACACAACAAACTACGTACACCCAACATTATAGTGACCAGACACAACGTACTCCGGACTTATATAACAGACACTACATACAACCGACGTCACAGTGACCACAAAATACGTACACCCAACATTATAGTGACCAGACACAAGGTACTCCCGACTTATATAACCAGACACTACATACACCCGACGTTAGAGTGACCACAAACTACGTACACCCAACATTATAGTGACCACAAACTACGTACACCCAACATTATAGTGACCAGACACGACGTACTCCCGACTTAGATAACCACACACTACATACACCCGACGTTATACCGATCGGACACTACATACACCTGACGTTATAGTGACCAGAAATGACATAGACCCAATGCAATAGTGACCAGACACTACATACAACCGTAGCAATAGTGACCGGACACTACGTACACCCGACGTTATAGTGACCAGACACTACGTACACCCGACGATATAGTGACCAGACACTACGTATTACCGACGTTATAGTAACCAGACACGACGTACGCCCAACCTTATAGACGAGACACTGCGTACACCCGACGTTAGAGTGACCAAACACAACGTACACCCGACTTATAGAACCACACACTACGTACACCAGACATTATAGTGACCAGACACAACGAACTCCCGACTTATATAACAAGACACTACGTACACCGGACATTATAGTCACCACAAACTACGTACACCCAACGTACTCCCGACTTATATAACCAGACATTACGTACACCCGACGTTATAGTGACAAAACACGACGTACTCCCGACTTATATAACCATACAATACGTACACCCGACGTAATAGTGACCACACACTACGTACACCCAACATTATAGTGACCAGACACAACGTACTCCCGACTTATATAACCACACACTACGTACACCCAACATTATAGTGACCAGACACAACGTCCTCCCGACTTATATAACCACACACTACATACACCCGACGTTATAGTGACCAGTCACTACATACACCCAACATTATAGTGACCAGTCACTACATACACCCAACGCATTAGTGACCGGACACTACATACACCCGTAGCAATAGTGACCGGACACTACGCACACCCGACGTTATAGTGACCAGTCACTACATACACCCAACACAATAGTGACCGGACACTACATACACCCTTAGCAATAGGGACCACACAATACGTACACCCAACATTATAGTGACCACAAACTACGTACACCCAACATTATAGTGACCAGACACAAGGTACTCCCGGCTTATATAACCAAACACTACGTACACCCAACATTATAGTGACCGTTACAGTGACCACACACTACGTACACCCAACATTATAGTGACCAGACACAACGTCCTCCCGACTTAGATAACCACACACTACATACACCTGACGTTATAGTGACCAGACACTACAGACACCTGACGCAATAGTGACCGGACACTACATACACCCGTAGCAATAGTGATGGGACACTACGTACACCCGACGATATAGTGACCGGACAGTACATACACCCAAAATTATAGTGACCAGACACAACGTACTCCCTACTTAGATACCCAGACACTACGTACACCCGACGTTATACTGATGGGACACTACATACACCCAACGTTATAGTGACCAGTCACTACATACACCAAACGCAATAGTGACCACACACTACGTACACCCAACGTTATAGTGACCAGACACAACGTATTCCCGACTTATATAACCACACACTACGTACACCCAACATTATAGTGACCCGACACTACGTACACCCAACATTATAGTGACCAGACACAACGTACTCCGGACTTAGATAGCCACACACTACATACACCCGACGTGATACTGATCGGACACTACATCCACCTGACGTTATAGTCACCACACACTACATACACCCAACGCAATAGTGACCGGACACTACATACACCCGTAGCAATAGTGACCGGACACTACGTACATCCGACATTATAGTGACCAGTCACTACATACAACCAACGCAATAGTGACCGGACACTACATACACCCGTAGCAATAGTGATCAGACACTACATACACCCGACGTTATAGTGACCAGTCACTACATACACCCAACATTATAGTGACCAGACACAACGTACTCCCGACTTATATAACCAGACACTACATACGCCCGACGTTACAGTGACCACACACTACATACACCCAACATTATAGTGACCAGACACAACGTTCTCCCGACTTATATAACAAGACACTACATACACCCGACACAATAACGACCGGACACTACATACACTGGGCGTTATAGTGACCGGACACAACATACACCCGACGTTATAGTGACCAGACAATACGTACACCCGACGTTGTAATGACCAGAAATGACATACACACAAAGTTATAGACGAGACACTGCGTACACCCGACGTTAGAGTGACCAAACACGACGTACACCCGACTTATATAACCACACACTACATACACCAGACGTTATAGTGACCAGACACAACGTACTCCCGACTTATATAACCAGACACTACGTACACCCGACGTTATATTGATCGGACACTACGTACACCCAACATTATAGTGACCAGACACAAGGTACTCCCGGCTTATATAACCAAACACTACGTACACCCAACATTATAGTGACCGTTACAGTGACCACACACTACGTACACCCAACATTATAGTGACCAGACACAACGTCCTCCCGACTTAGATAACCACACACTACATACACCTGACGTTATAGTGACCAGACACTACAGACACCTGACGCAATAGTGACCGGACACTACATACACCCGTAGCAATAGTGATGGGACACTACGTACACCCGACGATATAGTGACCGGACAGTACATACACCCAAAATTATAGT